AGTGGATCATCGATCTGATGATCGTATAGTCTGACTTAATACGCTCAGTAATGGATAACTGCGTTAAGAGAGGCGCAAAGCGATCAACCGATCATCACCTTGCTGTTGGTACACTGCGCTGTAAAAAATGGAGTACAATACGAAGATTTTATGGCAGAAGCAATAGGAAAATCAACTGGGAAATATTATCTTTGGTCGACACGAGAGCGAAATTAGCAAACAACATCGCACGACGGTGTGAACAGATCCCAGTGGTGAGAACTGATGTTGAAACCGAGTGGCAGCTGTTTAAGAGAAGGCTACTCCAGGCTGCCGCCGAATGCTGCGGATATAAACGGGTTGGCCTGCCGCCTGGAGATCAGAAAGGATCTTCATCGTGGACACGAGAAGTACAACTGGCAGTTAAAGAGAAGAAAGCAGCGTTCAAGAAATGGCTTGGAAACAAGGAGCCATCTAGACGTGCGATACGTCGAGGCACGCAAGGCGGCAGCCACAGCAGTGGCAAAAGCCAAGGCTGATTCCTGGGAGACGTGCTATAATGGTCGAGGCACGCAAGGCGACAGCGAAAGCAATGGCGAAAGCCAAAGCTGATTCCTGGCAGAAGTTCGGTGAGATGTTGGAGTCGAATTTCCACACGGCAAGCAAAGTATTCTTGCAGACCATCTGCCAGCTCCGAGGTGAAAAGACGGGCAGTCTCAAAGTCTTGAAGATCTGGACACCCTCTTACCAAGGATGATGACATTCTTCGGCGATGGAGGGAGTTCTTTGAGGAACCCCTTAACCCCGCGCAACCGCAGGAAGACTCGCCTGCAGAACAGAAGGGTACGGATATTACTATCTCTCTAGATTAAATCACACAAGCTGTGAAAGGCCTGAAAAATGGAAAAGCTGCTGGAATTGATAAAATACGCCCTGAGATGCTCAAGGCATTAGGCGAACAAGGCATGTGCCGGCTAACACGTGTCTGTCAAACTGCGATGAATGCGGGAAAGACACTAGCGGACTGGAGAACAGAAGCATTGTATGCATATTCAAGAAGGGAGACCACAATGAATGATCCAACTACAGGTGCATTACGTTATTGAGCCTCCCCGGTAAAGTTTACGCAAAACTGCTAGAAAAAGATGCCGTGAAATAAACGACCTCAAGATAGAAGAGCGGTGTGGCTTCCGGCCAGGTCGAAGCACCTGTGACCATATATTTTCCCTGCGCCAGACCGTTGAGAAATCTTCGGAGTACGCCCGTCCGGTGTACATGTGTTTTGTGGACCTAGAAAAAGCCAACGGCCGGATTCCACGCAACATTCTGTGATCATGCCTTAGAGCATATGGGTTAGATGGTCGGCTGCTAAGGGCCATCCAATCACTGTATTCTGACAGCAGGTGCTGCGCGTGAGAGTAAATGGCGCTAAGTTAAAACCATTCAACATTCGCTCTAGTCTCCGCCAAGGCTACGTCCTGTCCCCTATCCTGTTTATGTTGTACATGGAGAGAATAATCAGGAGCAACCAAGGCGATGGGTTTATCGGTGCAGATG